CCAAGTGGCAACATCGATGGACTCAAGCGTGATACCAGTAGTGAGGTTGGCGCAGGATCAGGCAGTGTTTCATTCTGCTGTGCATAAGGTTGCTATGGGTTGGTGCCAACTGAATGGCACCTAACAACAACAACATACAGACAAGATTATCAGTTTTACATTCAACAAATCATACACTTTTCTTCATCATCAATGATTATACCCTCCTCTATGCAACAGCAGTTATCCTGCTTCCTCCCTGTGGTTCCTATTTGCATTCTACCCACCTTCCTATCCCTTCTTAATTTTGTCCTTAAGTAAATGTTGCCCTTTTGATTTTGAATGATTGACCATTCCATGGTGAGCAGACCTTGCTAGTGTTGTCCTCCTCTATAAGCCTATCTAGTGCTTTAGCTGAAAATTGGGCCACGAAGGTGAGTTCCTTTCCAAGCCTGAGGAAAGGTTGAAGGCCATAGTCTCAGGTTATTCCAGTCTCTTTCTGGTCAGTAAATGTGGTCTTTTTAAAATTATTATTAAATAATTTTGAGTTTTACTCCACATTTTCTGCCACTCATCTGGGATCCTCTAGTGTGATTCCTTTCAAGGCAGTTGGTAGTGGGAGCCAGGTACTGTTTAGCTCTTCTGGTCTTAAAGTTATGGAGACTGATGTTCATTATGTTCCATTAGTCCGTTGGATTTAATTGATCCCAAGCCTCTTCAGTTCTTACTGCTCTTTTTTCTTCTGTACATGGAGAGAACAATAGCTTTTATCAAGCCATTTTTTTTATGAAGTAGACAATTAAGGCTATCAGTTTAATGTATTAAAAATCTTATTTGTTTGCTTCCACTTTTCAGTTATTAGGAGGAAAACATACTTTATGATAAAGTAGGCATAAATTAGTGTATATTACTAAGTACCCATTCTGCATGAGCTAACATCTCCTCTATATTTGTTAATCTTGAAAACATACTTAAGGTGGTGGTGGTTGCTAAGTGCCATCGAGTTGTTCTGACTCTTAGTGACCCCGTATAGGGTTTCCAAGGAGCAGGTGGTGCATTTCACTGCTGACCTTGTGGTTCGAAGTCCAGTGCTGATCCTACAGTGCCACTAAGGTAGATATTACTATTATTCAAGGGCAATTCCAGAGTTGATAGAAAAATTTCACTATCTTTTAAATTCACTTTTCCCCTGAACTTTATGCAGTTCCCTCTTACTTATAGGACAAATGAGGCATACATGGATTAAGTAACTTGCCCAGAGTCTCTTGACTGATGGCTGCTGGAACTGGGATTTTGAATTTAGTTCAGTCTGACTCCAGATCAGCTCACTATCAGTGTACCTCCTTGTTTCTTGTGGGGCAGTATCTTCTGAATTGTTGTTTGATGTCATTGAGTCCATTTCAACTCATAGCAATGTCATGTGACAGAATAGAACTCCATAGGGTTCCGTAGTCTAGGCTGAGCAGATTAAGAAGTCTTTCTCTTAAAAAGCTGCTTCAAGCCATCAACTTTTTGCTTTGCAGCTAAGCCCTTGACCGTTGTGCCAGCAGAGGGCCAGTAATGACAAGAGTTGGCGTTAAGCACTTACTCTGTACTAGACACTGTTCCAAATGCTTTATATTCAATATAAGCTTCATGACAATTCTGCTAAAAAGATACTGTTATTATCAGCATTACATAGATGATGCAACATGAGTACATTGAGGTGAAGAAATGGCCCCAAGTGACAGAGCAGGAAAGTAGCAGACACCAGGGAATCCGACTCTAGAACCAAAAGGTAGTACTGCAGTGGAATCTATGCAATCTTGACTTCCAAGCTTCCAACTAGTAGTCTAGTACCTGTTTGTACCACCCAGGGACTCTTGTGGTGTCACTTAAAAAACAACAACAACAACAACAACATTCTGACTCATAGTCACCCTATGGAACAGAGTAAAACTGCTTAGGGTTTCAGAGGATGCAAATCTGGGCAGGAGCAGACAACCTCAGCTTTCTTCTCTGGAGCAGCTAGTGGATTTGAACCTTGTGGTTAGCAGCTCAATGCTTAACCCACTGCACCACCAGGACCCTTCTCTCAGGATAAGGAGAGCCTTATTTCTCAGATAGCTCTTACTGCACCAAAAGAGTGTTGTTGTTGTTTTTTTCATTAAATTTCTTTGACCTTCTTCCAAACCCTGAGGCATGCTGTTCATCCTATTTCAAATTCCACATCGGAGATTCAATACTAGAAAAGTGAGATTTCTCAACCCATGAATTTGAGAGCTGAAAACTAGTGGGTAACTAGCCACAGGGCTTCCCATCTCCTCTGGGGCTCTAGCAGTTACAGAGTTTTCCATATGCTTCATTCCCAGAACTGAAGTTTAGAAAATCTAGTGATAAGGTGGGTTCCAGCTATTGATAGAATCTATTTTAGTGAACAAACCTAGTTTAATCTCTTTTGTGGTTTTCTAATATCTAAAAACCACCTGAGATTATGTATGTATATTATTGTTGCTAAGTGCCTTTGAGTCAATTCCAACTCATAGTGACCCTTTATAGGATTTCCAAGGAGCAGCTAGTGGGTTCAAACTGCCATCCTTGTGGTTAGTAGTCTAGTGTTTTATCCTACAGCACCACACTAGGGCTCCAGATCATATATATGATCATTGCTGCCAAAAATCTCTCTGGAATACAACAAGTCCAGTACAAACTTCAAGAGTTTTCTTAATACATATGTTCTTTCTGTTGAGATTCTCAGTACTTATTCAAAAAAGTTTGCTAAACATGCAAACCAACAAGAATATAATCTTGCTTGGATTTCTGAGGCTAGAATTAACTCAGCAAAACAGTTTTATTAGAAAAAAAGAGTTCATATGACTAGTAACTAAGAGATTTGTTTGTGTGTTTTAATGAAATAGTGGGGGTTTTTTGGTAGTAAAATGTGACTTTGTTTCAGGGATACCCCATACAAATATGGAGTGGGTTCCATTCCAATGATTCCATGGTAAATTGGTTATTTTGTTAATTCAAACACTTCTTTTCTCTTTTAAAAAACTTTTCATTATTATTGACTTTTATTATCAGTATCTCTGGAGTCCTGGTGTGGTGCTGTAGGAAAACACTGGACAGTTCAAACCCACCAGCCTCTCATTGGACACTCTATACAGGGTCTTTGTGGGTTGGAACCAGCTCAATGGAACTTAACAAAAACAACATCTTTATAAGTCCAATTATATTTGTCTTTGTGGTTGGAAACATTACCAAAAACCAAACCCACTGATGTCAAGGCAATTCTGACACCTACTGACTACATAGGACAAAGTAGATCTGCCCCATAAGGGTGCCAACTCTTGAAATCCTTACTGAAGTAGCGGCCACACCTTTCTCCCATAATTTACAACTGTATTTTAACATTGTATTAGTACATCTTGTTGTTATTGTTGTAGTCAAGTGCTGTCAAGTTAGTTTCCACTCATAGCAACCCCTTATAGGGCTTTCAAGGAGCAGCTGATGGGTCTGAACTGCCAACCTTGCTTAGCATACAGCGCCACACAATGAAATGTGCAAAATGCAGTTCATCTGGATTGCAGCAAGATAAACATATATTTGAAAAAGTTGTCAAACCATGTTCTTTTTCTTGGTATTTATCTTGCAGATCCTTTACCTCCTGCTAGGTTTGAAGTCAATAAAGAGAAGACCACTTCAACCAGCTTGCATGTTTGGTGGACTCCTTCTTTGGGGAAAGTTACCTGGTATGAGGTGCAGTTATTTGATGATAATAACCAAAAGATACAGGGGGTCCAAGTTCAAGAAAGTACTTCATGGAGCAAATATACATTTTTTAACCTCACTGCTGGTAGTAAATATAATATTGCCATCACAGCTGTTTCTGGAGATAAACGTTCCTCTACAGTTTACACCAATGGATCAACAGGTAAGACATGTTTACGTAGCTTTTGGTATTCAATCATCTATGATAATTCTGAAATTATTTTTATTCAAGAAAGGGGATTGGATTGCCTTCCCAGTCAAAAAAAAAAAAAAAGTGGGGCGGGAAAGGCTGTACTGTAGCATCAAATCATGATGCATCAGTGGACCGGACTGAAAATAATGAGGCATGCTATGTTACCAACTTGCTGGGTGATTTTGAACAAGTCACACAACTTATCTGGAACTGGAGTCTTCCTCCATTTTGAACATAACCCTTTTTTTTGTTTTTGTTTTTAAATTATGGACTGAGTGATAGTTTACATGGGAGAACATTGGCTTTACACCATGATTTCATTGCAATGATTACAATGTCCTCCGTGTAACATCATTCAACAGTATTTGCTTCCATTCCCTACTTTTTTAGGGGGGTGAGAGGGGAATGGGGAGATGTACAAAAGCACTCAAGAATATATAATAATTTAAACAAAGGCACATTCTGTAAGCCTGCCTCCTGGCTGCCATTACTCAGTCCCTCTCTTTCCATGAGTCTAGAGTCCTCAGCTGCTCCCCCTCTCCATGTCTTTATCTCTGCTTCCATCTCCGGTGTTGCCACTTCTCTGCATATGGTCCCGCATTCCACTTGTGCTCTTTTCTCTTGATGGTCCTAGGGTCCTCTGTTTCTGGACTGTAAGATTAACTACTCCCCTGTTTTTGTTACAAAACTTCTACCTTTACAGTCGCAATTAGTCATTATAACAATTACCTAATAACCCTTTTAACTCAAATCATAGGCAATAGGATTTTCTGCCTCCTTTTCTAAGTTTGTTCCATAAAACATTTTTTTTCAATGTTTTCCTCCTTTATGTATTATTCTCATAACATCAAGACATGATATTTCCTAAATATATCTATATTTGAAACAAATCTTACTCCCTTGACTTGATGAGAAATCAGCCACCTCATGCACCCACACATCCTCAGACCTGCGGACACATTATCACCTCTTTTGATGATGTTTCTTTCATGTCAGTTTCTTTCCTTCCATTTTCTCTCCATGTTTTTTCTCTCAATTTTTAAATCTTATATCATTCTTTTCCTTTCCTCTTCTTTTTACTGCTACATCTTGTCAGACATTATTTACAAAAATAATCTTTAATTACCTACTAAGTGGATGTGAAAGCTGGACAGTGAATAAGGAAGATCATAGAAGAATTGATGCCTTTGAGTTGTGGTGTTGGAGGAGAATACTGAAAGTGCCATGGACTGCCAAAAGAACCAATAGATCTGTTTTGGAAGAAGTGCAGCCAGAGAGCTCCTTGGAGGCCAGGATGGCTAAGCTTCGTCTCTCATACTTTGGACATATTGTCCAGAGGAAACAGTCACTGGAGAAGGATGTCATTTTGGGTAAGGTGGAGGGTCAGAGAAAAAGAGGAAGACCCCTAACGAGATGGATTGGCCAGGTAGCATCATTGATGGACTCAAGTGTGGCAGCGGTAGTGAGGTTGGCCCAGGATCGGACATTGTTTTGTTCTGCTGTGCTGCATGGGGTCGCTATGAGTCGGTTCCGACTCGATGGCACCTGACAACAACAACAACAAAGTGGAGGAGACCTGGCGTGGTGCTGTAAGATAAGTGCTGGACCACAAGATCAGTTTGAACCGCAAGGTCGGCACTTCAAACTCACCAGCCACTTTTTGGGAACCCTCTACAGGGTCACTATCAGTTGGGACTGACTTGACAGCACTTAAAAACAACAACAGCAAGTAGGGGAGACAGACAAGTAAACTATGATGTAACTTTAAGGTGCAGACTTTAAAAAGGGCACTAATGCAGGGAAATCGTGTATTGTTATTCATTACTGTTATTACTCCAGGCAAATTTATAAACATGTATCTATGAATGTGTGATTTATAAATAAACCAGGTCTGGTGCTGTGGGTTAATGTGCCAGTCTGCAAAGCAGTTTGAACTGCAAGGTCAGCAGTTCAGGCTCACCAGCAACTCCTTGGAAACCCTATACAGAGTGGCTATGGGTCAGGTTGAAATCAACTCGAGTGCACTTAAAAACAACAAATGTCCTCCATAAGGAAATTATGAATGACACTTTAGACATGCTTTCCCTCCCTTGCCCTTTCCCTTTTAGTGCCATCTCCGGTGAAAGATATTGGTGTTTCCACAAAAACCAGTTCTCTCCTGATTTCCTGGTCCCATGGCTCTGGGAATGTGGACCGATACCAGCTGATGTTGATGGATAAAGGGATTCTAGTTCACAGCAGTGTTGTGGACAAGCATGCAACTTCCTTCACTTTCCACGCGCTGACGCCTGGCCACCTTTACAACCTCACCATTGTGACTGAGGCTGCAGGGTTGCAAAACTACCGATCAAGACTAGTCCGGACAGGTAAGTGCTTCTAGACAGTGGGCAAGAACAAAGCTCAAATAAGGAAATGTTTAATAAACTAGGGATCTTCTTTTACTCTAACACTTACACTAGCACTTAGCCGTAAGGATTCCTACCTCTTTCTCGTAAGCAGGCATCTCTTACTTTTGTGTCGCTCATATTCTTCTCAGTGCTATGAAACACAGTTTTATTTGGTCACACTTGGGGTTGCAATAAGTTAGAATCAACTCAATGACAGTTGGCATTATTTATTCTTGCTCACTATGAGTCGGAACCGACTCCACAGCACTTAATAACAACAAATGATTAAACAGAATCCTAGTATGGCTCTGTAGGATTAACACTGTACCACAAGGGACATTGAGCCTCAAGGTTGGCCGTTCAAAATCACCAGCTGCTCCTCAGAAACCCCATACAGCATCGCTGTGAGTTGCAACTTTCTTGACAGCACTTACCCACAACATTATTAAGTACATAAACACTGGATAAATTAGATGACGCACCTCTTTGAGCATCCCATTTAAAGAATTTCAGAATGGGAAAGGACCTTGTTAGGTCTTTTGTGTAAGCCCTGATTCACCAAGAAGGAACACTATGCTGGGTAAGATAAAGAAAGCTGCCCAGCTGACTGATCACCAAGTCTGAACCAAAATACCTGAGGCTCCTGACTGCCAGGTTTGTACTCTCCCCACTGACTTGACAACTTTTCTTTAGTCTTAAAGAACTCTTGTTTGCAGTGGTAGTTTTCTTCTGAGAAGGGATGTGGCTTGTAGGAGTTCAAGTACAGATTAAAATGTGGCCTCTGGACTGAGTCAAAGTCTGTTTTCCATTCTTTCCTAACTAGTCCCCATGGAAGTCTCAAATTTGAAGGTGACAAATGATGGCAGCTTGACCTCTCTTAAAGTGAAGTGGCAAAGACCTGTTGGAGATGTGGATTCCTACAACGTTACCCTGTCTCACCAAGGGACCATCAAGGAATCCAGAATATTAACACCTCAGGTTACTGAAACTCATTTTAAAGACTTAACTCCCGGACGACTTTATCAAGTTACCATCAGCTGTATCGCTGGTGAATTGGCTGCTCAGAAGATGGCAGTTGGCAGAACAGGTGAGTCTTGGGCTTCCGAATATTCCTTGGTTGCTCAAATCACTCTCTTATCCATATTGTTGTTCTTGTTAAGTGCCATCGAGTTGGTTCTGACTCATAGCAAACCTGAGGCACTGTAGTGTAAGCACTGGATGACAAGGTCAGTTTGAACTGCAGCTGGCCTACCAGCTACTCCTTGTTGTTGTTGTTGTTGTTGTTGT